GCCAATATACAAGGACACATGCACCTCCATGTTTATTGCAGCACTGTTCACAATAGCTAGGGTATGGAAACAACCCAGATGCCCCACCACAGATGAATGGATCCAAAAATTGTGGTATCTATACACAATGGAATATTATGCAGCCATTAGAAATAACAAAATAATAGCATTTGCAGGGAAATACAGCTAGAAGAAATCATGTTGAGCGAGATAAGCCAAGAGCAAAGAGACAAACAGTACATGGTCTCCCTGATAACTGGATGTTAAATCCAAAATGTTAGGTGATACACCAAAATTAACAGGACTTAAGAAACAAAGAACTTCCAATCATCTGGTCGAACAACTACTAAATAACCCCATGCTACTGATCACATGTATGGTGTATATGTGTACACCATTATATGTTATAGACCGTGATAGACAATTTGCTCCAGGAAAGTTAGAATGAGTTTGTGCCTTTAAATGAGCATCATTATCCCACAATACTGTGAAATTTGGGAAATTATGTAATCACTTAATTACAATTTTAAAAAAAACACCAGAAAACTAGAAGTGGTGCTATGGCTCAAGTGGTAGAGCATGAGCCTTGAGCTGAATTGTTCAGGGACAGCTCCCAGGTCTAGAGCTCAAGCCATACCAATGACAAAAAAAAAAAAAAAAAAAAGAAGAGAGAGAGATCTTTCATGCAATTGTTTCTAACATATTTATAAGATTATGTCTTTGTTGCCTTGTTTGTCCCTCACCCATGGTATAACCATTGCTTTGACTATCTATGATGTTGGTATATGTGGAGGGGAAGGGAAAAAACAAATTGTTCAAACAGGGATACAGGAGGACCCATTGCAACTATGAGATGTACAAGTCGTTATGTAGCAAAACCAACTTTACAACTTAGGTGGGGGAACGGGAAGGGGGAAAGGAGGATTGGAAGGGATGGGAAGGGGAAACAAAGGAGGAGGCTACAATGCTTGATAAGAAATGTGCTCATTATGTTGCCCATGTAATTGTAACCCCTCTGTACAGTACTTTCACAATTAAAAAGAAACACAAAAAAAGAAGACATTTAGAGAAATTTTAATTTGTATTGTATAAACTTATACAATGTGGGATCTGATGAACTGATGTATTCACAATCAATAAAATAAAAAACGAGTATCTTTTCTATATAACAACAATAAGCCATCTACGAAAAAAGCCAAAAGACCAATTTCATTCTCAATGGCTTTCTCAAACTAAAATATTTAGGATTAAACTTGACCAAAGAAGTTAAAGACCTCTACAATGAAAGCTATAAAACCTAAAAGAAAGACATTGAAAGCCAGGTATCGTGACATACTCCTAGCTACTCAAGAGACTGACATCTGAGGATCAAAGTTGTACCCCAGCCTGGGAAGGAAAGTCCATAGACACTTACCTCCAATGAACCTGTAAAAAGCTTGTGTGAAGCTGTGGCTCAAATGATAGGGTGCTAGCTTTGAGCAAAAAGCTAAGGGACATTAATCAGTCTCTGAGTTCAAGCCCAATGCTGGCAAGAAAGGAAGGGAAGGAAAGGGTGTGAAAAGAAGGGAAGAGAAAGGGAGGAGGAAAGGAGGGAGGGAAGGAAGGAGAACCAAGCATGTGATATTTGTCTTTCTGAGACTGGTTTTTATTTTTCTGTTTGGGGTGGCAGGGGTGGGGGAGTGCATGCATGTGTGTGCCAGTACTGGGACTTGAAAAAGTTCAAGGGAAGGGCACCGTCCCTTCTCTTAGTTTTCTTCACTCAAGGTAGGCATTCTACTACTTGAGTCACACTTCCACTCCCAACATTGGAGATGAGAATCTCATAGACTTTCATAGAGGCTGTGCTGGCGTAGCCTCCTGAGCTTCTAGGAATACAGGCCTGCACCCCTGCCACAGGGCTCTTGGATTCCTTTAAGTCAGGTTTTCTCTCCCCCACTACCGCACCTCAATTTCACAGGCTTAAGATTCCATAGTATTTAATTCTAGTGGACTATGCGTGGTGTCCCTGCTTGAGCTTGCTTTTCCTACTTGAGCTCTGGACCTTCTGTCAGTGAGGAGAGTCACTGACTTTCCTGACAGCAATCTGCCATCTTGCCTCTATCTCCTTATTTATGCATTCTTACATCTCCTAGTAGCCTCTTAGTAACATCTCTTACTTGTACAAGATTTCATTTTGACATGTCCATTTATGCATATGATGTATCTTGAATAGAATAAATCCATTTATCACTCTCCATTCCTCCCTCTCTCTCTTTCTAAAGCACTTGCAACAAACTATGTTGATTGTTCCATTCCACCTCTGTATAGAAAGTATTTTGATCCTATTCACCATCCTAACCTCTGTTCACTTTCTTCCTATGAGTGCCCACACCCCAGACAGTCATGTTCCATCTTCTAATACTCACTTTTATTGAAATGCTTTTTAATTGTTAAAGGGGCATCACCATGGGATTTTATATATCCACCACCACAGTTTAATGATTTTATATATACACTATAAAATGTTATATTGTATGTAAGATTATATTGTTAGATAACATTATATATTATAGTACTGTAGTATATAATATACATGAGTATTATAATACTGTAATATATAATAGTACAATCTTATATAATTTCGATAAATATAATTAGTATATATAACATGTGTATCTTATATGTGTTTATATATGCTTATTTTAGGTCTTGCATGTACATATGAGAGAAAACATGTGAACTTTGTACTCTTAAATCTGGCTTACTTCATTTCATATGATGATCTCCAGTTCCATCAATTTCTCTGAAATGATGTAATTTCATTCTGTTACTTAGCTTAATAACATTCATGATACATACATTTTCTTGATGCATTCATGGTCTGTGAGTAGTATTGATAGCCTGACCCTTGTGAGTAGTGCTTCCATGAATATGAGCATATAGGGGCCTCCATAATAATCTCATATACATCCTTTTGAACAAATGTCCAAGAGTGGTAGCACTAGATTGCATGGTAGTTCTTTTTTTTTCAGTTTGTTAAAGAACACCTATACAGGTTTATCCAGTGCTCACATTTGTTTATGGTCCTAAAGTAGTGTATTAATAAAGTGTGATTTACCCCCCCAAAATCCTTGCCTCCATTACTTGCTTACGTTTTTGATGATGAATATTCAGCCTAGAGTGAGGCCAATTCAAGTTTTGTTTCAATAACCATTTCTTTGTCACCAGAGATAGTCAGTGTTTATGTATTGATTGGCCATTTGTAGTTCTTCTGTTTTGGGGGGAGGGGTTGTCAGTCATGGACTTTGAACCTAGGACCTTAGTGCTGTCTCTGAGTTCTGTTCATGGGTAGCACTATACCACTTTAAGCCACAAATCTACTTCCTGGGTTTTTTTGGGGGCTGGAGGAACGGATGGTTAATTGGATCTCACAGTCTACCAATCTTTTCTGCCCATGCTCCTCATATATCAGCCTCCTGAATAGGTAGGACTACAGCCACCAGCACCTGGCTATTTTGTACTCCTTTTGGGAAGTCTCTCTTCAGTTCTTTTGCCCATTTATTAATTCATTGTTGATTCTTGGAAGTTTGGGTTTTTTTTTTGAGGTTCCTGCATCTATTGAAATGATCATGTGGTTCTTGACCTTACTTCTATTGGAAATATTGAACCAGCTTTGCATCCCTGGAGTAAACACTGTTTGCTCATTATGTATGTTTTTTGATGACTTGTTGAAGTGATTGGCCAGAATTTTGTTGAGAAGTTCTGCATCGATGTTCATCAAAAATAGATTTCTAGTTCTCTCTCTCTCTCTCTCTCTCTTTCTGATAAGTCCTTGTTTGGTTTGGGATTGAGGGTTATGCTGGCTTCGTAGAATGAGTTTAGGAGTGAACATTTGCTTTCAATTTCATAGAAAAGTTTGAGGAATACTGGTGTCAGTTCTGCTTTGAAGGCCTTATAGAATTCAACTGTGAATCCATCTGGTCTTGGTTTTTTCTTGTATGGGAGATCTCTTATTGTTTCATTGCTTGATATGGGTCTATTTAGATGGTTTAAATCTTCTTTGAGCCTTATTCTCTCTTCTGTGAACTTTCTATCCACTCCTGAAGGGAGAGGAGGTTTCTGAGTTGTCTACTGTTCATGATGAAACAGACTTTCCAAGGCACAAGAAGCCAGACACAGCTGAGAGAGGTTGTTAGCTATCTATCTGAAACATTGATGGATGTCTTCCCATTCTGTCTGTCAAACAAGTTGGACTTCCACCTTGACAGTGCACAGACACTAATAAAGATAGCAGAACTTTCTTGATTTCACTCCTCAGGACTCTAAGCATAACACACAAATCTGTCATCCCAAATATGGGTCTACTAATGAACACTTCTGACAAACTCTCATATGTTATCTTCTTTTTTATATGGCTTGACACGGCACCAGAGTTCTTATGGTGACTTTGCGTGTCCTCACTGAGAGACTGTGGACATCACATTCATTGGCAAATTGCTCAGCTTCTTCCATTTCAGCTGTTGGCTAATATAGAAATTCCAACAAATCTTAAGTATAATGTAGAAATAATATTTAGTATTGATTAATATTTAATATTTATTTAAAGAATAGCATATTTCAAATGGATGATACCTAATCTTTATAGAAAGATTCAGTATCTACCTTAAATTTCATGACGTGATATCTTTGATTGTTTTTAGTGTTATTGTTTTTGGTCTTGAATAATCTCACATAGTCCAATATTTCTTAGGTTCGGGAGGAAAACCATCTTCAGGTGGTGTTTATTCCAAATGGCCATCGGTGACACCTGTGCAGCCTTTGCTCCCACCTTCCTTGTTTACTGTTCCCTGCGATTCTTAGCTGGGTTATCTGTCCAGCCTGCTATTGCAAATGCTTTTGTTCTCAGTAAGTAAGTCATTTGATCCTTTAATTTCCTTCCTGACTAGAAATGTCTTGAAAACATGATTTGGAAAAAATAATTATAACCACACAACTATAATTACAACTGTGTTTTCTTCCAGTTATAGAGTGGACAAGACCTCAATCCCAAGCTTTGTTAGCAATGTTGACTTCCTACAGTACTGGGCAGATGCTCCTGGGAGGACTGGCTTTTTTCTTTCGCAGCTGGATCACACTGCAGCTGATATTATCCATACCTCTGTTGGTCTGCTGCGTGTTATCAAGGTATGGACAATATGTCTGGCCTTTAACTCTAATGAAAGGGAACATAGAGGCTTAGAGGGAGGACCTGACACTTGAGATCTGTGTAATCTCTGAATGATCCTGTCACCTCACCCACAATCACCACTGTGCTACTGAGATACAAAGGAGAACAGAATGTACTCTGCCAGGAGGCTGCAGCTGTGGAGTGAGCACTTTTCTATCTTAACCACAGAATTATTATGGAATCTTTTTTTTTTCTCTCCTTTTTAAGCATATATTGCTTGGAATAAGAGGGGTCTGAGGGAGCTATTTCCACACATGTAATAATGTACTTTCCCCATATTCACACCTTCAATTCACATGTAAATAATGTACTTTGACCATATTTACATCTTCTATTCCTTTTTCTTATGCTATCTTCCCTCCTTTTTAAAAAATAATTTTAATCGGTTTAACAAGCTTAACTGTACTGTTTTTTACAGAATGAAGTTATATTTGCACTCCACCCCCATCAACTACTGACTTCAATCTCCCTGTGTTCCTATGGCTCCCCAGCATTGGGCTCCTGTTACACTCATAACATACAAGGGCCATATCATATAAAATATATTTAAGTCCAGATTTGCAGAGAAGAGTATATGATACATGTCTTTCAGAGTCTGCTTTTTTTCACTTAACTCGACCGCCACTTCCATCCATTTTGTTATAAACAACATAATTTGGTTTTTCTTTTTTTAGTAATAATATGCCACTCTGTGGATTATTTCTAGGACTTATATTCTATTCCATTGGAATACGTATCTTTTTTTTTTCTTCCAGTACCATGATGATTCATTACTCTGGCTTTGTAGCACAATTTGAAGCCAAATATTGTGATACCTCCAGCATTGCTTTTTTTGTCCAGGAATGCTTTGACTCGGCAGAGTCTGTTGCACTTCCCTATCAGTTTTAACATTGCCTTTTCTATTTACACAAGGCATGTCACTAGAATTCTGCTGGGGGCTGCATTGAATCAGTAGAAAGTTTCAGTAGTATATAAGCATGCCGGGTCTTTCCTTCTTTTGTTATCTCCTTTAATACTTAATGCTTTGTACTTTTTACCTTTTCATCAAAAGTGATAAAATGAGCAAACTCTACGACTTGAGCCAACAATTTTCCTTCTGGTTTTTGATCATACTGTGGAATAAAATTTTCATGGACTTCATTGCCCAGACTGGCTTCAAAGTGTGATCCCCAGATCTCAGCCTCCACAGTAGCTATAATTAGAAGTCTGAGCACCAGTTCCCAGTGTGAAGAATTTTACTGTGTATAAAATCTCTGAAAAAAATCCTCTACAGAGATTAATTATATGGCATATAGATTATATAGGGATATTAACCATTGGAATGTGAATGGATACTCAGAGTATTTGTTCATTCCTCCTTGTTGTCTATAATTACTTTCAACAAACAAACACTTAGATACCCTTCCTGTAAGTCCACCAGAGAAGGCAGATTTAATCAGAAATGACTCTACTATGATGTACAAAGTCTATATGAAATGGAGAGGAAAAGATATTTCAGATTAAAGTTATGTGTAAAATAAGCAGTTAGATGTTTACTGTAGCTGTGTTGTCTTCTTTTTCAGGATGCTGGTAGAGTCTGCTCGGTGGCTGGTTTTTAGCAATCAGCTAGAAAAGGGCTTAGAGGAACTTAGAAGAGTTGCACATATAAATGGAAAGAAGAATGCTGGGGAGACCCTGAGCATTGAGGTGATCTGAGAAGGGGGCTGATTACTGGGAATACATGATTTGAACTCACAATCCTACTATTCTGTGTCCTTTAGGCATATCCCAAATTAGAATTTTCTAAGTGAGAAGTTTCTTTGTTTTTGTTTTTTGTTTTTTCGGTCATGGGGCTTGAAGTCACGGCCTGGATACTGACCCTGAGCTTTTTCCATCAAGGCTACCACTCTGTCACTTTGAGCCACCATGCTACATCCGGTTTTTTGTTGATTGATTAGAGATATGAGTCTTGGGAACTTTCCTGCCAAGGCTGGCATTGAACTGGGCTCTTCTGTTCTCAGCCTCCTGAGCATGCTGCTTCTACATGACACTTGCACATCACCGTCTTAGTTCCCCCACAGTCTTATTATTGTGTAGAGAAAGAGGAACCAAATAAAAAATGTGGCTATCTTTTGTCAGAAATCAAATCATTGTTTGAATAAAAGAGCAATTTCCCACACACGACACACATATGGGCAAGGAAGCAGTAATCCTTTCTCACTAGTTCAATAAATCATGGTTCACTTTAGGGAAAGCATTAAATATCATTTTAACTTCCATGCATTTCATTCAAAAATTAAATGCCTAGTAGGCAACAGATAGGAACTCTTGCTCTAATCCAAGTGCTTTGGCAGTAATTATATAAAAGTCCTTTTTTCTCTGACATTTACACTGTCATTATCAGAGAGTACTAAGATGTTGCCTATGTAGAAAAGCTCTTTGAAAATCTTTTTTTTTTTTGCATTTCTTTTCTTGTTGTGGGGTTTGTTGATGTTTCTCTTATTTGTTTTTCTCCATATTTCTAGAACCTAGGCCCTAATATGGCTGGCTCACTCATAGATACATTTTACTCACTCATTTTAAAATCTTTGAGGCTGGGCCCTAGTGACTCATGCCTATAATCCTACCTACTCTGGGGGCTGAGCTCTGAGGATCCAGCCTCAAAGCTAGCCCAGGAAGGAATGTTTGGGAGGCCCATATCTCCAATTAACCACCAACAAGCTGGAAGTGGTGTTATGACTCAAGTGGCAGAGTGGCAGCCATGAACACAAAAGCTCAAGGGCAATGCCTAGCCCCTGAGTTCAAGTCCCAGGAGCAGCTTAATTAAAGAAAGAGTTAAAAAATACCTTTGAATACATAAAGTGTGTCAGCACAGTGTTGGATATTACTAACGGAATTAACTTCATAGCATCTGTCTGCAAGAAACATTTTAAACTAGGGCAGAAAAACTGAGAGACAGTCTTATACAAAATCGGTGCTAATCCAGTCTATGTGCCAGGCATTGGTGAGAAAACCAAAAAGTGTTCAGCCAGCATTAATGGTCTAGAAAGGACTAAGGTGATAAGAGCTGGAGGAGGCCTTTGACACATCACCAAACTGGGTGGCAGTGGCACTGGGGACAAACGTGCCCACAGGCTGCCTCTGAAAGACAGCAAATGCCACATAAGAAAATGCTAACCAAGGAAGACACAAAGGTTGTATGTTCCCAATCAAAGTAATGTCATCCCTCTGCTATATGAAATAGCAGTGTCTCCAAAAGTTTCCTTTCATTACAACCAACATATGCTCAAAGTTCAGAGTCTATTTTTCCTAGTGCTGGGTACTAAATTAAGGGCCTCTTACATGCTAAGAAAAAGATCTCCACCTCTAGCACACAGAATCTTAACAGTTTAACGAGGTATAAATGTGAATGGGACTACTTAAGCATTGTTCTCTGATTATAGAATCTTTGTATATAAATCTGTGAAGCTACAGAGTAAAAAAAAATGTCCACCTGTCCCAAACTCATCCAATATGCAATGATTATATGAGCACTGTGGAAATACTTATTGTTTTTGTTCAAAAGGGAGAGGTAACATACAAAGGAATCCATAGCCTAGCTGATTCCAGCTAGGCAAAGGTTAGAAATTCCTATTGCAGTTTTGAAGGCTTGGAAAATTCTAGCAGACTGATCCTCAGCAACAATCTCTTGCCTTTCAATCAGAGCTCTGAATTCTTCACATCTGTCATTAATGATAGATAACATTTCAAATAAACAGTATTCCTAAATAGTGTCCCAAGGAACATTTCAGCGACACTTCCTCATTTTGTATTTTATGTCTTTACTTGGATAATCTAAAATACTAACTCACTGATAGAACAGTCTGTCATATCTAGTATTAACTCTCCATAGGCCTAATATAGAAAATGAATAAACTGTTATAAAACTAATAAACACAAGCCAGGCATATCTGCCTCACCCCTGTAATCCTAGCTAATCAGGAAGCTGAGAACTTGGGATCAAGACTCAAAGCCTGCTTGAGGGTCTTATCTCCAAAAGATTACACAGAAGAAGGCAAAGAGGGCTGGGAAGGTAGCTCAGTGGTAGAGCCTTTGCCTTGTATGCATGAAGCCCTGGGTTTGATTCCTCAGAACCATATAAGCAAAAAGAAAAAAAGCCGGAAGTGATGCTGTGGCTCAAGTGGTAGAGCTCTAACCTTGAGCTGAAGAGCTGAGAGACAGCGCCCAGGCCTAGAGTTTAGGCCCAAAACCAGACCCAAAAAAAGAAAAAAGAAAAAAAAACAGAGGAAGGCAAAAGAGTTGCTATGGTCAAGTGGTAGAGGGCTAGCCTTGAGGAAAAGCAGCTCAGGGACAGCACCCAGGCCCTTACTTCAAGCCATAGGACCAACACACACACACACACACACACACACACATGCAAGCTCGCACACACACACACACACACACACACACACACACACACCTTCTTAAATGTCAAGGTTCTTTACTTGTCTTTGCCTCAGTATTTAAACAGGCTTTAATCTTATCTAATTCCCCTCTCAGGTATCTTTCATGCTTCTTCCCACCTGGGAAGAACCCAGACTGGGTTCTGCCCAAGTCCCTACTCTGTAGTTTTCCTTGAGGATTCAACACACCATATGTGTTTCATCTTCTAGTATTTAGCAATATAATTGGCACATGATTGACATCTCATAAATGCTTTTGACTTTTGTTGTCCAAGTTTGTGAAATCCAACCTGCCGGAGGAGTTTGAGGACGCCAAGGCAAAAATATCCATTTTTCAGTTGTTCCATGCACCCAGGCTGTGTATGAGAAGCTGCTGCCTGAGTTTTATCAGGTATGTTCCTATAAATAAACTTATCAATATGTTTTACCTCCAATATCTTAGTAGAGAGGAACTACATTTATTCTTTCAAAAACAATAGCAACAGCAGGCCAGGGACTGGTATAATGCTTGAGTTCAGGACCCCCATAAAGACTACCAGAGACCAAGATCGATGTATTCAGCACCGAGGTATATATTGCAAGCTAGCTCAGTCCTCTGCGCACACCACAAACAACTGGTGACGCTGAGAGGCCCGAGCCTGGGGTTTGCAGCTGTTTTATACACTCTTTAGGGAAGGCTGGGGCTTTGTACTCATCATATCATTCCTTGACAACTCAACACACACCGCAGGAAAATCATAAAACATCTCTAATACATGGTTCGTGGGTCCAATTGTGGGAAGGAATTTAGAAAGAGTTATTGGTCGGATCAAGAGGTTGATGCGCTTTAAAATTATTGCTTTTAATGGGCTGGGAAGGCGGCTCAGTGGTATAGCACTTGCCTTGCATGTATGAGGCCCTGGGTTCAATTCCTCAGCACCACATAAGGAAAAAAAAAAGCCGGAGGTGGCG